AAAAGTTTAAACCCATAATTGCAATGACTTAGAATGCCTAAGAACTTGAGATTTCTTCATACTGATCACAGTTTTGCTCCTGAACTTTAGCATGTGGTTTACTTTTTTAATTTATCCTCTCACAGGTGGTAAGAACAATGCTTGTTGTACTTCTGTCATGAAATTGGAGGGGAGTATGAAGAAAGTTGGTAAATGATAGAACACTATCTGTTTATAAGTTGCTCACAAGTATTCAGAGAAGATATTGAACCTTAAGGACACCATCAATCTGAAACAAGAAGATGATCAAGTTCTGCTGCATCTCAAAATAGTTGCAGCTCTCTGTTGACATTTATATTTTCCATAGTAAAAATAAAAGGCAGGATTCTAATCACAGAAATGTCTCTCTACACAGCAGAAAATAGCTTGTTGGAAAATAAAGAACTAGAAAGAGAACTCATGTAATTTTAAATTTTAAGATATTTTCTCTAGTTCTGAATCAAACTAAACATGAAACTATATATAAAGGAATTTTCCCCCACATTTCAATTGCCTCAACATATATACAGGTTAATTCGGGTAGGTTAAAGATAGAAAATGATAAAAGCAAAACTATATCACTCTATAAACAGTGTCCTTGTGACCTCCCAAAAGATGAGGATTTACCAAATAAAATTCAAACAGTGCAAACCATAGAGGAAAAGACTGAAATACATGAATCTGGCTATTAAAACTTCTTACTTCAGATTATAAAAGTCAGTGTAAAGGAAATGAAAGATGATACTTTTTAATACATGTGACAAGCAAAGGATTAATCAGCATCTAAATTAAACAAAGCAAATTCCTGCAATTTACAAGAAATGAAAGAACAAACCAACTGAAAAAGAGGGGGAAAGTCTTAGTAGATTCTTTACAGAAAGGAATTCTGAATAGCCAATAAAAGATGTCCAATCTGATTGGTAATCATGGAAATTAAAACCACAATGAGAGACCATTTATACATATTATGTCACCATAGCGAGAAAAACATTTGTTAATGCTGTGTGTTGGTGAGGATGTGGGCCAACCACATCATTAACATGGTACTTCTTGTTGGTACAAATTGGTATAATCACACTGAGAAACAAGTTGATGTTATCTATGTATACTTCTGTGATTCTTGTTTTGCATTTCTTTTCATAAGAAAAATAATTAAATATTTATTTTGTCTTTCTATATGAATTATATTTCATATTAATGAAATAGCTGACAAGGAAAAGTTACTCTTTCTGGAGTAATTGTAGTTTAAAAATGCTAGATGAATGACAGAATTAGAAAATCACCCTTATGTAGCACTTAATAAAATTATTTATGTAGCCTTCCTTAATGGATGCTAAAAGCACTGGCCAAAACTTGATGGGGAGCCCAATGATGGAATGATTAGGCTGAGGCTACCTCAGGTGATCTAAAACTGGGTCAATAGGAAGTACAGTTTATGGGGAACAAGGAGTTAGAGATAGATTGTAACAAACAACATGAGAGTCATCAGTCAAGTTGAGAATGCGAGATGTTTGGGGATAAAGGTTTCTCTAGCAAATCAGTAGCACAGAGGATAAAAAGCAGGAGGGGAACATGTTGTAAAAAGGTTGAAGGCCATAGAATAAAAAACACAATCTTATTTAAATTTTGGTTAGTCAAATCCATTGTAATAATTTGAGACAATCAATGAAATATGAACAAAGAGTAATTAGGCACTAGGTGACATTAATTAATTGTTTTGTTATACATGATAAGATCATGATGTTTCTTGTAAAATGTTATCAGATATAAAGACAGAAGTGTTTGCAAGTGAAATTGTATGCTTTAAATTTGTTTTTAATATAAACAAAGCTGTTAAGGTAACAATATCTAGTGTTTTTAATAAATTATTAGTTATGAGGGTGTTGATGGAGAGGAAGAGGTCTGGAATAGCATCTGAATTTTGCTTTCATTAATATATTTTTATGAATTAAATTTATTTTAACTGATGTATAAAGTACAATTGTACATATAATGGGAAAGCATGTGATATTTTGATATGCATACATTGTATTAAGCTTAAATATATAAAGTTTATAACTATTTCTTTGGCTATTTACCATTTCTTTCTGAGGAAAATATTCAAAGTACTTTCATATAGGCTTTTGAAATATACAGTGCACTACTGTAATCTGTAGTCACCCAACTGTGCAATTGTACAACAAAATTCTTATTTCTAATTCTAACTTAGTACCAATGATCAATCTTTTCCAGACTTTAGTAACCACCATTCTACTTTCACCTTCTATGAAATCAATTTTTTCAGACTGCATATATGAGTGAGAGCATACAGTACTTGTCTTTCTGTGCCTGGCTTATTTCAATTATCATAATGATTTCCGGTTCCAAGCATGTTGGCATAAGTGACAAGATTTCATATATTTGTGGATGAATGGTACTCTACTCTATATATGTAGCACATTTTCTTTATCTACTTATAGGCTGATAAACACTTCAGATATTTCCATCTCTTGCTCTTCTGAAGAGTGCTGCAATACACACTGGAGTGAAATGTCTCTTCAATATACTGATTTTATGTCCTTTGGATAAAGGATAAATATCCAGTAATGTTAGATCATATGGTAGTTCTATTTTAAAGTTTTTGAAGAACCTCCATACTGTTTTCCAAAACAGATGTATACTAATTTACATCTCCATCAACAGTGCACAAGTGTGGGCTTTTCCACATCCTCATCACATCCTGTTTATGTTGAGAGCCTACAGAATCAATTGCTGATAGTGAAGGCAACTTTAGATAAGAAGAAAAGACATTGATGAAGTCAAGATATTGAAGAATGAGAAGAAGCAGGGCATGTTAAGAAGTAGAATAGGAGCCTATGGGAAAAAGTGGGTAGGTAGTACAGACCCTAAAGAGGAAATAAGGCAGTGCAAATGGAAGAACTGTAGTCTTTCCCTTCACAAATCCAGCCACTCTTATTGCAGTAAGATTGATATATTTTAAAATATTTTTAGTTGTAGATTGACACAATACCTTTATTTTATTTTTTTTTTTATTTTTTATGTGGTATTGAGGATCAAACTCAGTACCTCGCACATGCTAGGTAAGCGCTCTGCCACTAAGTTACAATTTCAGTCCAAGGTTGATGTCTTGTTGTGATTTTGATTTGCTTTTCCATGATGATTAGTGATGTTGAACATTTTTTTCATATACCTGTTAGCCATTTGTATTTCTTTTCTTGAGCCTATTTAGGTATATTGTCTATTTTAAAATTAGGTTGTTTTGTGCTATTATATTTTTAAAGTTCCCTCTATATGCTAGATATTAGACCTTTGTAGATATATGGTTACCTGTATTATTGGGGTCTTATTCAAAAAATGTTAGACTACTGCAATGCCCTGACACATTTCCTTTTTTTTTCTAGTAGTTTTTATAGTTTCAAGTCCTAAATTTAAATCTTTAACCTGCTTAGAGTTGATTTTTATAACTGGTAAGAGATAAAGGGTTTGTTTAATTTTTCTTCTGCATGTGGATTATCCAATTTTCCAAGAATAATTCATTGAAAATACTACCCTTTCTCCAATGCATGTTCTTAGCATCTTTGGAAAAAAATCAATTGGCTATAGATGTGTGGGTTTACTTTGGGACTCTTCATTATGTTCCATTGGTCTATAAGTCTGTTTTAATGTCAATACTATGCTGGGTTGATGCTTTCAGTTTTAAAGGTGGCTCCATTTGCTAAGATAGGCTTTACAAAAGACACAGCAGGCTCCATGGCCTATAATGAGTTTAATTTTGAACTTAAACTTTAAGCACCCAGTGGAGTTTGAAAACCATATGTTATTAGGAGCAGCCATGCACATTTTTGTAAAGTTTCCAAAATTTTCCTTCAACACTGTCCCAGGGTACAGCTACAGGTTCAGTGAAGAAGTGATCTAGATCAATCTGCTTTGAGATGCAGACACAGATACAGCCAAAGGACAAAAAGACATGGGCAGTGGAGATTATTGTATGAGAGAAGTTAAATAATGTGCTATACACTTAGGTTAGATAGGAAAGTAAGAAGTCCATTAAAGTGGTGATGTAACCCATCACCACTTTAATGGACTTTTTACTTTCCTATCTAACCTAAGGTTAGCAAATCTTTAGATAATAGCAAGAAGGATAAATAGAGTGTCACAGGGTTCTCAGAGTATACAAGTCTCAAACAATGACCTGAATACAGTTTTGGGAGTGAAATTAGAATGCTGCTACTATTTTGGGTTTCTATGGTTAGGTAGAAATAGTTGAACAAAAAGCTTTTGCTTAAGTGCCATTTAGAAGGGGACAGAATAATCATTCTGTCAATGACTGACAGTGTAGAGTAGGTCCAGGCACCTGGGATGAGGAAGCCAGAGGAAAGGGTAAGGGCCTTCAGTTAAAAGAAAGTTAGGCTGCCCTCTTCCTCTTCTTTCTCTCCTCTCTCTGCTCTCTTTCTCACACTCTATACTCTCTTTCTCTTTCTCTCTGCTCTCTTACTCTGCTCTCTACTGTCTTCCTCTCCTTTTCTTCCCCTTCAGGCAGCCCCCCCAAGGGGGGGAAAAGTTAGATGTGAAGGAGCTCTAGAATAGAACTGTGATGAGAAAAACTAGTTGAGGTGGTCAGTGGTCTGCACTTTGGCTGCTGACCAAGAAAGTGGGATGATAACATATTTTGAGGCTTCTAGGCAGAATATCCCACATAGTCGTAAGAGACTTATGAAGCCAGAAATTTTTAGGCTCTTCTTAATGTATAAAATGAATGTTGCTGAGAATTGACTTACCTTGAATCTGAAGTGTTATCTTTTTCAGACTATTAAAGGGGGAAAATGTATCTATGCTCATTCCCCATTTTAGAATTTTTTAAAAGTTCATAGTCATCAAATTCCTTATATATGTACATTACCGTTCCAAGTACAATATAGAATATAAAAGCAAAATCCTTCATCCCTGCCACTGAAGATGCAAGGATTATGTATACAATGTACCTCAGATCTGTGGGCCTTGGAAGAAGTCTTCTTTTCCCATTAAAGTAGACTTCAAAATCTTGAGTCTTGAGTCTGTGGGCGTAGTCAATATATCCTGACACTTCTTGTCCATGAGAATTTTTATCACGAATGAAGATCACAGACTGGAAGAGAGAAAGAGAGAAAGAGAGAAAGGAAGGAAGGAAGGAAGGAAGGAAGGAAGGAAGGAAGGAAGGAAGGAAGGAAGGAAGGGAGGGAGGGAGGGAGGAGGGAGAAAGGGAGGGAGGGAGGGAAGAGAGAGAGAAAGAGAGAGAGAGAGAGAGAGAGAGAGAGAGAGAGAGAGAGAGAAGAGAGAAGAGAGAAGAGAGAAGAGAGAAGAGAGAAGAGAGAAGAGAGGAAGGAAAGGGAAAAGGAATAAAAGTCATTTGAGTACACTGCATATTATAACAGAAGCTACAGTTGCTGAGCATTGCATATGCCAGGCTCTGTTTCAAGTGCTTTATGCTTCATCTTTACAATGGTGTTAATGGATAGGTACTACTCTTTTCTCCCAACACTTGTAAAACTTAACTGAGTATGCACATAATGCACATTTATAGTAATTTTGTAAAGCAATATCAAAAATACCCTTATAAAACTTTTACTAAGAAGACATTATTTCAAGTGTTTGAAATATATAAATTTATTTACTTTCTCTTCAGTATTATTATCTTCATTTTAGTCATTTCTTTACATAAAAAAACTGAGATGCTCAATGTTTCAGAGCTAGTAAATTGCAAAATTGAGATTCAAACTCAGGGTCACAGATTTGTCCTTCTAACTACTACATTTTTTTTCCATTTGAAATACTATAGATTTTCTGTTATCAAGGTGTAACAGAGAATAAAACGTATCATGAGAATAAAAATATCATTTTATAAAATAACTTCATAGGTCAATATTCCATAGTACGTTGTATTCTCTGAAATATTTCTCATTCATATTTGTTTCTTCACAAATATCATTGAGCACCTTCCACATGTCAGGCACTATTATAGGTGCCAAGATAGACAGAGTAATAAATAAAACTGACAAAGTCCAGACCGCCCGTATTTTGTTATGAGAATAAAAACAGAAAGAAAACTTCTGGTAAGTAATAAATGCAATTAAGTGATGAAGAAGGAGATCAGGGACAGATTGAGTTGGTAATGAAGGCAACTTTAGATAATGAGAAAGACCATGAGGAGGGCAAGATGTTAAACCAAGACTGAAGAATGAAGAGAAGCAGGCCATGTAAAAAAATAGAATAGGAGCCCATGGGGAAAGGGGAATAGATAGTACAGACCCTAAAGAGGAAATTAGGGAGTGATCAACAGTCTTTTTTTTTTTTTATCTCAAGTTCAAAGAAAACAAGACCACCACCAACAACAACAAAAGGGAAAATAACCCTATTCTAACTGGAAAATTTCAGAATGCATTTATTTTCAAATTTAGAATGAATTATATAATTTCATGGCAAAGTTCTATATTTGGAAGAAACTATGAGACTCCTTTTTCTCCTCAGAAGTAACTGGGTTGTTTTGTGTTGGTTTTTTTGGGCAGTCAACTGTAGGAAACACTAAAGTGGGTGATGTTAGGAAGCAAAGCTACCTACATAGTGAAGTTAGAAGACAGAAAAGGTTCTTTTTTCCTACTGCAGCTACAGAAACATCTGATTAACAATATCCCCACTGAAAAATGACAGAATAGAGATACAATTTTCTGCTGATAGATTTCATGTTGCCTGTCTGGTTGTTTGGAATTGGGCACTGGAAATACTGTTCTGAGAAGGATTTTTTGAAGCAGGTCTGGGATATCAAGGGGACAATGTGTCACTTTCCATAGATTTTGCAGGAGTGGTTAGCATTCATTGTTATCCCTGTGTGCAATGCTGTACAGATTCCAATCCTTAGTCCTTGTTTTCCCCACATAACTCATGGTAAAGTAATTTAGATTTCCCTGTGCTTTTAGCCATTTATTTTTCAGTTTCTGCAGCACAATTTCTATATTAATAGTGATCCAAAGAGACTGCTTGGAACTCTCATACGATTAAATCAATAACTAACCCTGCTGTCCACATGAGAGTCCTAAAGGTGCTTGACCTCTTCTCACCAAGGATAAGAGAGAGAGAGAGGTGTGGGGGGGATGAGAGAAGAGAGAGAGAAAAAAAGAGAGAAAGAGAGAGAGAATGAATTATATAATTTCATGGCAAAGTTCTATATTTGGAAGAACCTATGAGACTCCTTTTTCTCCTCAGAAGTAACTGGGTTATGAGTTACATGAGCCCTATACTTCCAAAATGGAACTCCATTAACAGAAAAACTCTTCTTTCTCTCTCAATGAGAGATATATCAGCAGAATGGCAAAGTATATATTAAAACTACCTTTGTACTAAAAATGAATTAAATTTTGGATGGAACCTAAAAAAAAAAAAAACACCACCACCAACAAAAAACTTTTAAAGTACATTTATACCCTGGCAAGAAGACAAAGTAAAAAAAAATAAATAAATAAAGGTAGGAACCCTGAGAGAAGAGTAGAACCCTAAAGTTGGTTTTGTCCTGCAGGCATTTGCCCAACCTAAGGAAAATTTAAGAAAGGATTCCATGACCTTGTGGTCATGAATTCCAGTCTTTCAGGTTCAGAGGCTTATAGGACTTATTGACTCAATATAAAACTGAGAAATCCAAAAAGATTGAAATAATGTCTTTGATGTACCCAGAGAAAATAAGAACCATCCCAGAATTGTACTCCCTGAGAAAACATCTTTCTAGTGAGTAAGATATTGACATTTTCAAATGAAAAAAAATGTGAGAGACTTGACTAACAGAAGTCTCTGCTCAAAAAAAAATTCTGCAAGATATATTTCAGGAAGTGATTCCAGCTAGAAAAATCAAAGATAAAAGAATTAAAATTGAAGAAAGTTATGAGTATACAGGTAAATAGAAACAAATCTAAACAACATAAAACAATAATAATTACCTCTACAATAAGTTATGTCAAAAATTTTTGAAATAGTCATGTATGTTTGGAGTGAGCAATTATGGTTAATGTGCTTGCTTGTCCTTGAATTCTTCAAAATGAGGGTACATACAGGAATTAACTTTAGAATCTGATAGAGATGTTTCTATACGTTTAAGACTATCATTAACAAACAGGATCAAATGTACATGACCTTCCAATTATTAAAGAAAGATTCATTTGACAAAACATAATGAAATATAAGAAAGAAGAGGAAAAAATATAGAAGAGGCAGGACAAATAAAACACACAAAATTTATTGACAGTGTTATAGGATGCATTTTGTCCTCTCCAAATTTATATGTTTTAGACCTAACCACCAGTACTTCAGTGCATGATTTTATTTGGAGATAGAGTATTTAAAGATGTGAGTAAGCTAGAATGAGTCTGTTGGCATGGGCCCTATTCCAATCTAACTGGTGTCCTCTTAAGAGAAAATTTGGACGCAGATAGCAGGGGTTCATGTGCTCAGAGAAAACCACTATGTGAAGTTCCAGCAAGAGGGCCATCTGAAGTTTAGGAGAGAGGCCTAAGAAAAAACCAAACTGCCAAAACCCGGATCTACTTGAACTTCTAGTTTCCAGAACTGTGAGAAAATAAAGTTATGTTGCTTAAGCCAAATAGTCTGTGGTATTTTATTGTGGTAGACTTTGAAAGCTACTGTTGATAGGAATAAGTTAAAATAATTAAGTAATTACAATAACTATTAATGATCAAATGTTTAAGTTAAAAATAAAGGTGTGGGAAATATGACAAAAAAATAAAAGCACTAAAAAGCTGAAAGTTGAATGATCAAAGGATGTCTATGTGAATTTCCATCTCAAAGAGAGCTGCTATCAGTATTTTAATGTTAGACAAAAAGTACTTTAATGCAAAAAGCATTACTAGAGATGAAGATTCACTACAGAATGATAAAAGATTAAGTTCATAAAAATATATAACAATTCTGAACTTGAATGAAGCTTTGAAAACCAAACCTCAAAAGTATTTAAAGCAAAAGAGACATATCTACAAGGATAAATAGAAAAGTCATCATCAGTATGGTAAATTCCTCGCTCTTATTAATTTCTAGGATATGCAGGGAATAAATGCATACATATTATAATATTAATATAGATTTTAAAGAATTGAAAACACAAGCCTGAACACATGGTGTTTATCTTAGGTAACTACCTAAACATCTTTTCTCTTCCATGTTCTTATGGATGAAATGACTGACGAACTAAAATTATATACATTTCACTATTTATAATTTCATGATTACATTATTATGTATACAAAGCTCCCTTTCTATGTAAATCTTATTAAATGTATTTCCAATCTTCTGCTCCAGTTCTGAGTGTTAAGGGATTATTATGTGGTTTTTTTTTTGTGTGTGTGTGAATATTTGGGTTTTCTGATGCTAGAGAATTTCAAGTGAGGCCAAAATGAGTAAAAATGTTGAGTTCCTCTAGGTTCACTATACATCTTGGGGCAAGTCAATCAAACTTCTAATACATTTCCTCTACTTATAAGTTCTATGCCCTGCAGGCATGGCCCAAGGGACCCAAGGGACCCAAGATACTGCTGACAGACCAGGCTACTGAAAAATTCAACAAGTTTCAATAATAAATAGAACAAAGCAAAACAAAAAAATAAACCACCAAAATTTGGCTTGGACTCAAGAATTTAGTTAACCAATTTTGCATATTCTTCCTTCTTTCTGTTCCTCACTAAACCCAATAGAGAAACAAAATGAGCCCTTCCTTTTGTCTCCATGGAATTGCTTAACTCAAATTCAGATGCTATCAGGGTCTTATCTTCTATCTCATACTGTTTCTTTCTCAATTGGAATTCTGGTGTTAAACCATAGTACCTTGTTTCTTTTATTTTCAATAGGAAAAGATACTTCAGTGAAATTTTTTTATAATTCTAAACCAAGAAAAGATAATCAATCACATGGATTCCTTTTCACACAAATTTGTACAGGGCAAATAAATTTGTCTTTCCAAGAATGTGAACACAAATGTATAAGTATACTTTAAAAGATATTTTTAGTGAAATAAATAAATGTTGGTGTTATGGTTTAAATATGAGGTGTTCCTCCTGAAAAAGTTTCTGTGTTGAGCAAATATTCAGAGTTGAA